TGAATAATCAAGAGCCTCTTTAGCTGGTAATCATTTCCTTTATCCTTGTGACCTCAATGAGTGATTTGGGAGTGATATTATGTGGAGAAATTAGATGATAGTCACTCTTTGGGGCCATAGGGTTAAGTTCTATCCAAAAGAGTAACAACTGTTTAGTTTTCTTAATCATAAATAACTTCCAGTAATGTACCAATCATAATATCATTGACACTATTTTGTTTTCTCAGACATGATAAAATAATTGCAATTCTTTATTAATACCTTGATTCTATTGATGATGTTATTGTTTTATCAAACAAAATAAATGTTAATATCTTGCTCCAATGATTTACAGGAAGAAGACAGCATGGAGTGATTATCTAAGTGACAGGAAAAAACTGAGTTAATTTAATTGGCTGATCAAATAAACCTGACCAGCATGGTCTGACTAAATTTGTGGCTGTACCCAGGGCAGCCTAAGGTCACCAAAAGCTACTAGTAAGACCTGACATGTAGGACCTAAGAGCACTTCATTCAGAATCTTTTGCATTCATCTTTCAGTTTGCAAATTTTTAGTCTCAAATTTTATTATTGACAAGTAGATGAATTGACTTGCATTCAGGTCATTAAAATCTCTTTATTCATAAACCTGTGTTTTAATTGGGATCAAAGTTAAAATTCTGCAAACTGTAACTTTGCTAATTCATAGACCATCGTAGGAAATAGAATGAAGTGTTTCCTTTGAGGTCCATACCAGCATACACAGTTATTTGATGAAGGCAAAAGAGAAGAAAATGTAGGGGGTCTTATTGGACTACATAGAAGCAGACAGATGGCAAAAGCAAAGTCTAAGTCAGGTAGCAGAGTGAAACATATGAATAAGGGGCAATTTGGAAAAAAAAAGAATACAGGTGGCTTATCTTGGTTTTATGCATATTTGGGTGTTAGCTTTTGGTAACAAACATTATCTTAGGGTTTGTTACGACCCTCAATTTATTGTTACAAAAAGACTATGGAACTTGAGGTTATTATTTAATTTTTGGGGAAATCCACTCTGAGTGCAACCCAAGGCAAGACTTGGTGTTTGAGAATTAACAAGTCCACCCTTGCTCCCCTTAACAATTCTTTTAAGAATAATGAAAAGTGGAATGAACTTCCTGCAGACAAAATTGAAGCCATAAAGTATGAATTTTTCCTCCTCCTTGTGCTAACTTACAGGAATCTTGAACTTATGAATCTTAAAGGAGTTACAAAATGACATACTTCTAACACTATTATTAAAATTGTTCTATGGAATTATAACAGTAATTATAATAATTATAAAAATAATAATGATAATAACTCTTGATTCAAACACAAATATATAGTACTTGAGAGAGAGACTCCTGAGGTTATCCCTGTAAAGAGTGTACATGTACAAAATGCATGTGTACATTTTTGTAACAGCTTTGGTTGTGTCTTCCAAGAGATCTTATAACTTGCTTGTTTTCATTGGTATAAAATGTCGTTATCTGATGATGAGAACATGCAGACCAACAGTGAAATTAAATATATATCAGAAAACTGATAAATATACGCATTCTTTTATTTTCAATTGAAAAACTTACAGTCTGAGATATGCACAAATTCACTTTAATAGTTTATACAAATTTTGAAGTCATGGATAACGTTCTAAAATTACAGATTAGAGGGTGTTCATAAGAAATTGCTCACTTTTTGCGTCTTCATTGTATTTACTTAATCATAGATCTTTTGTTTTTCGTCTTAGGTTGTAGGTATTACAAATCGTTGATTAAACACGCTTATCAACCACCCCCCTACCCCTGCCCTCCTAATTATTGTTTTCGTGTCCAGAGTCTTGTGCGCAGTAAGATGAACCCAAAGTTTCTTTGTTCACCTCTCCACCAATCTTCGCTGTTACTGACCGGTTTAAAACTTTGTTGAGATCTAAATCTTAGCTTTTATTCCGTTCCAATGAATTTCAATTCTCCGACTCTGTTTCTCTTCTCTCTTTTATTTCGTGAGTGGGCTCATATGAGATTTTCATCTTCGATCAGCACTTATTTCGACTCCTCCTTGTTACCCATGTCACAAATGTAGTGAAGTGTATTTTAATTCTCATAACAGTATAAATTTCTTTCCTCTTTTGCAGACATTTCAACAGGAGAGGAGAGTTGTAAAAGTGATGATCCTTCAGAAAATAAACGTAGAAGAGTAGCAGGTATTGTAATTATCAAGTAAAGAAATTTCATATGAAGCTTTCGTTTTAATAACTTATATTATACTTGTGATAGTAGAATGTCCGAGCGCGGAATCTGAAGGTGTTAGGTTCTGCTCCTGGTGAGGACTCAAAATTTTTCCTTTGTCCTACGCTCGTCACAAGACAGTTAAACTTCTTTCCTTTCCCTTTTCCTATAACAATTTGTCATTCTGTTCAAGAAACAGCACTCCGCAAAATTTTATGAAATAAAAATTCCTGAAGTTTTTTTTTGTTTCTTTGGCTGTTTCATTTCCCAACATTATAGATCCATGATGAAATAAACGCTGGTAATTTAATCTTCCCTGCGATTTAAGAAGAGCTACTGACAGAGTGAAGAATCAAAGAACAGAGTGTGGGTGTGTTTTTTGCAGGGGGGAGGCGACGGCGGGGAAATTATCTTACCGTATTTATTCGATTAAACACCGCGTCGCCTATTACATTTTGTGCGATTCGAGTGCGGTGTTTACACGAGGGCGGCGTTCATTTAAAATCCAATCTCTTTCTTGCAAGCAATAGTGTAGTAACTGACCGTGTCAGTTTTGAAAAACAGAAACATGTTCCAGTGCTTGTCTAAAAAGTCATTTTTTATGTCGTTCTTTATTTCATTACTTACATGTTAATACTACTGCAATACATAACAATACATAATACATAGTGAATAGAGATCTTATGTCGGATATGCTTCCTCGACATCAGAACTGTTCCATTCAAAAGGATTTGTGTCTGGTTCACTCAAAATTTCCAACTACGATCAATGCTTCGATTACTGTGTGCTTTTTTAGTCAATTATTCGAATAAACGCCACATCATAATGCGGAGTGTATTCGAGGGCGGTGTTTATTAATAATTCTTCTCTAAATGCGGCGTTTATCTGAGGGCGGCGTTTAATCGAATAATACGGTAGTCCTTTCATGCCAAGGAAACTGTACTTGAATTCGTGTGGTGTTAGAAACTTGGAATCGTGTGCATATTCATCCCTTCAATAAAAGTTAAATTGTTTTTTTTTTAAATATTTCTTAGTACCGTTGAATGTTGAGAAGTGTCAAGAGCAGCTTCAGTCTTATTTCGACACCTTCAGTAAGGTGAAAGTTGTTCCACGATAAAGGGTAATTCGCAGCTCAATTTCGTTCCGTTTTAATCATGCTTTCATAACATTCTTTTGTATTTTGTCGCAACAAGCCGACTCGCAAACAATTTGTTTTCTTGTCGAATTTTTGCTATGTATTGCTTCGTAGTTTTACGGTTCTTGTTTTAATCCGCTGAGGAAATTGAAGAAGTTGTAATTCTGCCAGCTGTGTATTCGTGAATTGTCTGGATTGAATTTGGATCTATTCATCGTCGAAGGATCACCAGTAGCATGCGATAGTTCGATTGCTTTTATAGAACAAGAATAAAGTTTGTTTCATGAAGAGTCACCACCAGTCAGTTCAAATCAGTTTTATAAATGAATTTGAATTGCTTTGAATTTTTTTTTATGCGACTTTTGTAAATACCGCGGAGTGCAGTTACACTTTCATTTCGCTGTTTACATCGCTGTCGCTTTGTTGTTTGTATTTACTCCTTGTTGTGTTTATGGAAGAACTCGCGAGTCTAGAGCACCTTGCATTAGTTTCTCGGTGTTTTAAAATCACTTTGTCAGTTAGCCCGCTAAGAAATAAGAATGCAGAACTGAAAAGACTGTTTACGATGAAAAATAAGACATTTTTTCAGTTTGTTTCTTTTTGCGGTATGCTCACCTTGTATTATCTGCATGGGCTTGTCAGGTACATGTACCTGTAGGACTGTATGAAAGGTAGTCACTGAATGATCTCTTGTTCATCATATGATGTAATGTGTATTTCTTGAACACTTAAGTTTATTTCTCGAACAAAGTAATCAGTATGGGCCCCACCATGGATATAATTGGATGATATCTAAATTTTAGTGAGCCTTGTGATGTAAGGCTACAAGGAACGTTCCTCAATATAAAAGTTGTTTTAAAACAACTCAGTCAAAAATACTCTTGGCCTAATTTCTCTTCATATAAAAAGTAACCAGGGTAAATACGTGTGAGTTCAGCTGTATGTTGTTTAACAAGATGATGTTGAGTGTTGGATTGTGATTTATCACATGCAGGATCGCAAAGGGAATGTCAAACCTGAAGAAGAATGGCCAACAGATGAATACTGGAGAAAAAGTTGGAGCTTCGTCCATGGATCAGAGCAAGAACCAGATCCTGGGTCAGTTACCAACTCAGGTGACGAGGAGGAACCTCGGTCCTGCCTGGAAACATAACTGACCAGGACTGGCTCAGTAGACCGCCTGTAACTAGTGAAACTTACCATTGGTCAGAACTGGCTGGCCAGACCAGTCCATCCATTGAGAGAATTCTTTCAGATCTGTTCAGTTAGAGAAGTCAATACCTAAATTGTATTGACTGTATTGAAATTTGAAAACAAGTTTGGGAAACCTGACTAGACAAGGCACATTTGAAGATGATTGGTTGGTCTGGTAGGTTTCTGACTAATCGTGAGAGACTTCATTGTTGTGATCAAATAAACAAACAATCAACAGTTGGATAAAAAATGAGGAAATAAATATTTTAGAATCACTTAGCTTAGGTAAATTGGTACCCTCACCAAAATGGGGACTCCCTTCCACAACATCGGTGAGAACATGTAGGATGTTTCTCTGGAGTCAGAGTGTCTTGTCCTTGAAATTGATCGTTGATTTGGATATATTTTGATTTTAGGCTATTTTACGATGTTCCCTTATGTTGGTTGTAGTTTTGATTTACAGCTTTGAGTTTCAAAACTTAATTTTCATGTTACTGAGTTAGAGACTCTGAGGTATTTTTGTCATTTTTCTTTTTTAATTTACTTTGGTTGGTTTTTTCCTGCTCAGATAATTGATTACTTCATCAGGCTGACTGTGCAGATAATTCTCTCATTTCTATTGATTAAAAAAGAGAAGTCATGAATGCAGCCATTCTCCATAAAATATTAAATATTTTAATGTGGCAAAGAGCAAAACCTCAATGTTTGATGGAAGTCTTCACTAAAAGCCAAAAACGTGAAGATAAATTTCGTGATTTAGGATCGGTATTTTTATTTCCATGGCGTTCGCCATGCTGTGAACAAATTTAGCTGATTTGTTAATACAGAACAGGCTTCTGATTGCCTTAATTTCCAAACATTCCATTTGAGATTAATGTAAATAGTGCAATGTGGTTGACATTTCGTCGTCAAAGCTTTTAAAACTCTGTTGAGTGTGGCAAAAGAAGGGAGACTGTGTTTGACAAGTATTTCCTTGACTCTGAAATGTAAAATAATTTAACTCAGTATTGTATTGGTTGTTCTCTCAAAACTGTCAAGTGAGTGACAGTTAAGTTATAGCGCTATTGTGGCTGTGCACTGTGCGCATTGTAAGATACTAACTCTATCTCCTGATTTTTATATATTGAGTCAGTAAGGCTGATTTTTCAGTAATAAGTCCTGTTTTCAAGTGCTCAGTTTTGCAACTGTCCATGGTGAACTAAACTAATTTATATTAAATTAGAAAAAACGAAACCCCTGTGAGTCCTGTGATGTCAGTAAAAGTCATCACCACGAACCAACTAGATCATTAGGTTTCATCCACACTGTTGTGACTGGCTGCTTCAGGCCCGCTCTGTTTATGCAACTGCTGAATTGAATTCACATCTAATTGATCAAGTAGTAGAGGGTTACTGTATTGATGGAAGGACAGACCATGGAAAGTTACCCACCCCTTCCCCCCCCCCCCCCACCCCAACTGACCACGAGGCCTCTATATCTCATAGATCTCTTAAAAATATCTTCAGATTTCCAATTTCCTGTCCTTCCTTCCTTTCCGGCTTCTATCCTCAGAATGGTTTCCTGTCAGAAAAGCCTTAGTCAGCTGCATCAATTTTACAAACAAGAGGGGGAGGGGGTCGTAAGATATTTTTGTAATCTCCAAAATCCACCATTTTTCATTTTTAGATTGTGATGTACTGAAAAACCGTTTTATGAATCATGTTTGACATGTATTTCTTGAAACGAGAAGGAAAAAATTCATTGAGTGAGGGAATAAATCGTGTATTTCTACTGAAATGAGGAGAATACTTTGATCTGGTCAACGGTACATGAACGGTGTATCAGACCGATTACAAATTGACGAAACATTCCGTACAGCCTGTCAAAACAAACAAGCGCTCTTCTCGAATAAGCGCCGACCCCTCCTTCCTCGCTTTCTTTAATAGTAGTGATACAAAGAGAACCTGTTTCTATTGTCACTTAATTTATAACTTTTTAGCCTTCAACTACAGCGGAATCAGTACAGGGAAATAGAAATTTTAAATATGCGCGGAAATAAGGTATTTAATCTTCGGGCAGGAGAGGACGATCTTTCACCAGATGCTCTTTTTGCCACATGAAACAATAAAAGCTTGTATACTGAGGTAACACTGTTTATTATTTCCTTACGGAGGTAGGCAACCTTTTCATTTAAACCACATGCTAACGATGAACTGAGATATTAACAGGATAACAGACCCAGTGTAAAGAGGTTCCTTCCTACCACAAAGTGGAAGATCAAATTTTAAAACGATAGAGCTGCAGTTTAATTGAAAAATAAAACTTGACAATCGACCAAACAATTTATCAACCAAAACTATGTATGAAAAGGGATGGAAATGCGTAAAGCTCCATCGAATAAGTGAAAAAATGCGGAGCCCATTAAGTGCCATTAAATCACACTTTCAATTTTGACTATCCCCTTAAGTTTTGCACGCGTTCCGTCTTTTTTCCCGACTTTTTTCTTTTTTTGACGACTTTTTTCTCGATTTTTTTTCTCGACAATTTTTCAATTTTTTCCGACTTTTTCCTCTACTTTCTTCTCGACTTTTTCCCGGACTTTCTTCCCGAATTTTTTTCCCTACTTTCTTCCCAAATTTTTTCCCGACTTTTTTCCCAACTTTTTCCCTGATTTTTCTGCCGGCTTTTTCCCGACTTTTTTCCTGATTTTTCTCCCGGCTTTTTCCCGACTCTTTTCCTGATTTTTCTCCCTTTTTCGACTTTCTGTGGAAGGTGGCTGACCCCAACCTAGTCACTGCTGTGGACTTGGCGAACACTGCGGATTGATATCGTTGTTAAAACGAGATATTTTTCTCTTCAGTGGGACGCCAAAATGACCAGCGCTTTCGCCGTGCTTCTAATTCTGACATTTGCTTTGAAAACGTCCACATGCGATGGTGTCCGACCTGCAAACTACATTCCTACATTGCAAGAATACCCGCTTAACGTCATGACTTAATTCAAAGCTATTATCATCTTGGGCTCGAGTATACAGAGATCTTGTTGTTTCTTGTATTCAGTCGTTACATCAGCTTGAGCCTCAGACAGTCAAGGGACTCGGACGAAGAAGAAACGCCAGGTTGTTCAAGCTCTGGAAGAAGATCTCAGAGCAAGCGGTTGTAACATCGGATACAAGCAAATGACTCAACGATTAGTCAACGACCACCGGCTTGTTGTTGGCAAAGAGAACGTTCTGGAGTTATTGAATATCCTTGATCCAGCGGAGGGTAAGTTAAGAACAAGGCGTAGGCTAAAATGGAGGCAATACATAACCAAGGGGCCCAATCATTTGTGGCACATAGATGGCTATGATAAATTGAAGCCGTTTGGTTTTTGTATCCACGGAGCCATCCATGGATTTAGTTGGTGATTTTTATGGCTTGACGTTGGATACACCAACAATGATCCTACCGTTATTTCTAAGTACTTTGTTGACTGTGTCCGGCAACTTGGAGGAACTGCGAGGGTTAGAAGAGCTGATTGTGGAACTGAGAATGGATATGTTGCAGCGGTGCAAAGGCGAGATGGTGAAGATGATTAGCGGGGGATGACAGTTCCATCTATGGGAAATCAGTTTTTAACCATCGAATCGAAGCCTGGTGAAGTATACTGGGAAAAGACTGTACTAGATGGTGGAAGACAACAGGAGCTGTGGCCTTCATCATGACAATGACTGTGTTGAAGAGTGTCTCAAGTTTTGTTCCATGCCTATATTGCGAGATCACTTCATCGGGAAGTAGGACCATGGAATCTCCATCGAATTCGATCTTCAACTAACTTGAAATTCCCATCTGGGAGGCCTGATGTACTATTCTTTTTCCCGGAAGTGTCTGGTACAAGGAACTATACAGTGGACGTCGACTTGGACGAATTGGATCTTGCAGAGGAGAGATGCTGCTATCAACCTCCGCAAAGAGGTTGCTCAGATGAACTTACCCAGTTATCAGAAATCATGAGGGGAAAAAGGTTTATAATTTCCTCGCACACCTGAAGAGGCAACAACTTTGTATGTCACCTTACTCGAAGAAATAATTAGGCAAAATGTAAGAGACCTGGGACATGCATAACCCTTCTGGGGTGCTAACCCCCCCCCCCCCCCCCACCCTTTTCCCCGCCCTCTTTTCACTTACGTCTAGAATTGAACCCACTTGTTTCAGAGTACTTCTTGTTGACTGAATATTTTAGACACTTTTACACACTTCATATTTGGTGTAATATGTGTTTGGTGGAATTCCATCAATTGGGACACTTTGTGATGCCTTCTATGACCAAGATGAACACCTCCTTTTGTTTGGTTTTAATAATTTCATACAATCCATGTGCAATATTTGTTAACCTTTAACAGTCAAGAAACTGATGACACATACTGTTAGCTTATTTGAACTGTAATAAAAACATGAAACAAAGTTTCCAATCTTCCCTTTCCTTGAACATTTTTTTCTTTCAAAACAATGAATTATCCGCAATAAGTCTTTACTAGTTATTCGCGTGGTTCACAATGCAACGTTTTACTATCATATCAGCTATCGAAAAATATTGAACCCTTTGTACAAAGATAGGGTAAACGCTGTTATATCTTGTCAAATAACCATGCTTGGCTTTCCGTCATGATATTTTTAAACTCTTCGGCAAGAGCTGGGAAATATCCGCATGACGTAGAAGCTTCAGGATGGGAGTACATGTACGAGCCACAGGGCGTCTCTGGAGCCCTTCCAATGAAGAGAAACAAATTCTTATGGAGTCACAGGTGATCACATCACTCCCTGTGCAAAAGCGTTGAAACATAGAAAGCGCCTTCCCCTCCAAGGAATTGACAAATTTCTTCAAATAGTCAAGACTCTGACGTTCACCACCGGTTGACGGCTCTCCTCGGAACAGTTTCATTATCTTCTTCGCTGTTTGTCGTTTACTTTCGTAGAGTTGATCAAGCCCCTCGAGTGTTTGGAAGCTGTGTTCACATCGTTGTACATCCAGTATAGGAGCCCAGCAATGTAACACATATCTCGGTTTTTAGATGAGCTCTTGATGGGCAAGCTCGCTGATGATGGATCAGATGTTGTCTTTGTCGGGCTTTCGAAAACACTTGAATGTGGAGAGAAATTCCAGCACATCATCATCATCATCACCATCATGATCTTGGGGGTCAAAGTCATCTCTTAGACACATATCCAACACCTCCCTATCCTCTGCCGCAAAATATTCCCGAAATGAATTCAGCAGAAACACTGGAGTTATACTCTTCTCCCCAAACAAGCACAATGCAACAGATAGATTTGAACGTTGAAGAGGAAATTACTTCATCTTTTGGTACCCTAAACAAGGACTTGTGCGATGGCCTTCCATTCAGTCTTTTGGAGATCATGCCTTATGTATGGTATTTTTTCATTACTTCCATTCGTCAGAGCTGTAAAACATTCTTGCCAGAAACACGTCATGACATCGAGTAGAGCTTCCTTACCCTGTCCGTCCTCAGGTTCGCTCCTTGCATCTATAACAAACGCATCAAAACTGTAGCTAAAAATTATC